GAGAGAGAGAGAGAGAGAGAGAGAGAGAGAGAGAGAGGTGGGGAGAGAGGCAGAAGCGAAGCTGCCTCTCCGAGAGGAAGATGGAAAAGAGAGCGACCTCACGCCGGAAGCTGAAGATCAGCCTGCCTCAGCGGATGGGGGAGGGAGTGGGCGTGGCTTGTCTCTTAAAGAGACAGAAAACCATAACAGAAGGACTGTGAGTAAATGTAGAATGTTCTTATGTGGGTGTCTTATTCCAAACAACTTACTTCCTGCCAAATTAATGCACCAAAAGTGATCTTATATTTTCCTGTGAATTTTAAAGTTAAATATTGATGAAAATAATTTTAAAGTCTTTTCACTACCTCCTCTACCCCAGGTCTCTCTATGAAGTCCAGACTGGCCTCAAACTCAGTTCTCCTGCCTTAGTTTTCTAAGTAGTCGTATTATAGACATGCATTGCCAAGACTAGCTGCTTATGTGTTTTCATAAGCTTAAAATCTACATTGTTCTTTCAAAATACAATTGTAGCATTATATTCATATATGCTTATGAGAATTGGCACACTTTAATCTCAAAGACAATTTTATCAGAGAAGATAAATTTAATTTTTTGGTTTAATGTTATAATTATTTATGGATATGTGTATATCTTCATAGACTATAGAAGACCCAAAACCATTTAGATTGCAAACACGGACTCATGAAAATACCAAGTCTTATGAGCAACTAAATGATAAGGGAAAATCAGATACCGTGAAAAATACCTCTGTCCAGGAAACACCCTATGTACTCAGAAGATCATCTAGACTGGAAAAACTGAAAGCAAGCGGAGATGTGGCACATACAGACGTGTTGAAAATGCCAGAAAGTATTTCATCAAAACCACTTAGTTGTGAGGATCAAATGCGTAACATATTTGCAACTGAGAATTCCAGGTGTGTTGTTACATAGATATTCTGGAAATCTAATGGATAATTGGGTGCTGGAGGATGTTAGAGGCAGTGTCAACTTACCCCTAAGTAAAAAGCATTTTTCTATTGCTGTTTTTAATTTTGCAGTTTTTAATCAGTCCCCCCACTACATAGCAGGTTCCTTCACCCCTCACACTCCTGCAGAGAGCCTCCCTCCTTCCCATATGCAGTGAATAGAGTGGATAGTGACATGCCAGCTTGGGAGTGGAGTGCAGGAGCCTGAGAATCCTCACATTTGTAGGGAACTACACTGAAAATAACTAAAAGACTGGCATGGGCTTGGCTCTCACGGGGGTATCTATAGCTCACTTAAGGCCCCATCCCATGTTTAAGTTGCTTTGTCAGTTGAGAATAACTCAGTAGCTATCATTGGTTTTCAATAGTTGTCAAAGTTTTATGTGATTCTCCATGACTGCTTATAAAAATTGCAATTATTTAATAAGTCAATTTTTTAAAGAATGCAGGGTTCTGTCTTAAAGACTGACAGTAAGAGGGAGATTATGCATTTATCCAGATTCAAGAGTGAACAGAGAAAGAAAAATGATCAACTTAAAATAAAAAATGGTGAGACATTTTTTGAATATTTTTTCATTTCTTTACATAGCTTATAGAAACAGAATTGAAGTAGAACAATTTATAATAGTACCTCAGTTTTATTGATGAGTTAACAATTTTAGTGATGGTAAGTAAGACTTTACCTACTAGCACACATAACTTCTTAGTAGCATAAATGGGATTTGAAATTAAATGGCTGCCAGGGTAGTATTGGTTTCTATACTTTCCTCTATAGAGAACAGCTAGATGATAATTTCATATTTGAATATATGGCTAACACAGCAAAAGACTGACATTGCATACCAAAAACAGGAGTAGAGACATGAGAGGACAAATTGCTGTTTCTATATAAGCTGTAAGATTGAATTAAAAAGTTGTGTTACAATCAGGGTGGTGGTGGCAGCTCACGCCTTTAAGCCTTTAATCCCAGCACTCAAGAGCCAGAGGCAGGCAGATATCTGTGAGTTCAAGGCCATCCTGATCTACAAGATCTAGTTCCAGGACAAGCTCCAAAGCTGCAGAGAAATTTTGTCTTGAAAAAAAAAAAAGTTCTATTACAATAAAATAATATAGAAACTCAGTTAAAAGTCATAGTGACCTTGACAAAATTGAAATATGGGCAATAGATTGCATCTGTTTGAATTTTCTGAATCTGTTTCACATTGTGTCTTCTTTAGAATGTATTTCGACAAATGTTTAAATGTATATAGTCAGTAGTATCATTCTTTTCCCTTATACCTTAATTTTTGTTTAAATGCACTCGTTAGGAACAAACTCCCGTGAAACAGTAAGAACAGAGAAGAGGAAGGGTGTCTGCGGTCTTGCTGATGGTACTCTTCACACCTCTATTCTTGTCTCTAAACTCACTGAGGTGTATACAGTTTAAATAGTGCAATTTTTAATGTCAAAATATTAATACCTAAATCTTTACTGTTGATACTGGCTTTAAATTTGAAAATTATTCACTACAACGTAGATTAACAATCTCAAAAGAAAATCTTATACAGATCATTTTAACAGATGTAAAGAGGGCATTGGATAACATCAAACCCTCACTTCTAGTCAGAATTTCAGGAAACAAGGATAGAAGAGTTTCCTCAACTTGACACAGGCGTGTATGAAAACCATATGACTAGTCTAATCATTGATAAGATAATAAATGCTTTCCCTCTGTCTTGTTTAGGGTTTCTGTTGCTGGGACAAAGCTCCGTGATCAAAAGCAACTTAGGGAGGGGGTTTCTGATTTGTTTTGTTTTCTTATGAACAAATTTCAAGTCACAATCTTCACCACCAAGGGAAGTCAGGGCAGAAACTCAAGGCAGGGACCTGGAATCAGGAACTGAAGCATATAAGCCTTGGAGAAACTCTGTTTACTGTTTTGTTCCCCATGGCTTGTTCAGCTTGCTGTTTTAGGCAATTCAGGACCACCTACCCAGGGGCAGGACCACCCACAGTGAGCTGGAATCTTCCGTATCACTCATTAGTCCAGAAAATGCTCCCACAGACTTGCTCACAGGGTAATCTGGTGGTGGCATTTTCTCAACTGAGATTCCCTCTTCCCAAATGACTCCAGCTTGTGTCAAGTCAATAAAAAAGTAAATAGCCAGGATATCCCCTAATACCACTAATAAAAGTATCTATTCTCACTATTTCTTTAGAACATTGTGAAGTTCTAGCTAGTTATTATGTAGAAAAACAAAAAGCAGTAATATTAAGAGTGGATTTAGTCACAAACACAATTATGTATGTCAACAATTTGATGGAATCTATGATAAAAGCTACCTTACCTCTGAAACTGTAAGCCAAAATAAGCTGTTCTTTCTTAAGTTGCTTTTGGTTATGGTGTTTTATCATAGCAACTGGAAAGCAACTAATATATCTACTGTCATTTAATTCAGGAAAGTTTGTAGGGTACAAAATATGCAAATAGCCTATATTATAGCAATAAATAAAGTGAAATTTGAAAACTACCATTATAATAGCAAAATGTATATTTAGAAATGAATTTTATTAAAAAAAAGTCGAATCACTAAAACTTACCAAAACAAAAAAAGACCTAAAGAAATCAAAGAAAATTTGATGAACAGAAGAGAACTATTATTAAAGTGCTGCTTTTCAGATTTGTGGTTTGTATAAAATCCTAGTTAAACCCACACAGAGACTCTTCTGTCTTTTCTTTCCCCCACCCCCATGTCTGTGCACATGCACACATGCACAGGTTTAGGCAGAGGAAAAAGGTGCACATGTTCAGGTACATGTCAAGGCCAGGGGACAGCCTCTCACTGGCCTGGAACTTGCCGAAGAAAGCTAAGTTGGCTAGCTAGGAAGCCGTTAGGAGCCCTGGTCTCTGTCTTGGATCTAACTCAGGTTCTTATGCTTGCTAGGCAAGCACTGCTGACTGAGCCATCACTCCAGCCTTCTCTCCACTCCATTCCCCTTCCTCCCTCATCTCTCTCTTTTCCTTTCTTTTTATAAGATTACTATTAGTCAATTTATTTTTAAATGCAAAGGACCTACAACAGCAAAGTGACTGGAAATAAAATTTGAGAGCTATTCTGATCAAGCTTTAGGAATTTTGTAGCTATCATAATAAAAAATAGCATGACACTGGTATCAGTAGGAAAATAGGTCAAGGAAATTAAATACAGTCTGGAAATAAACATGCAAAACTACTTTTCTGAAGTGAAAAGACAATGTGGAAAATGAGTCAATATTCATATGCAACAAAATATTTCTACTTGTGTGTTTTAAAAGTAGTGTTGAATTTTACTTTGGCTGACAAGTTACATGAAGATTAACTTTTCAGTATAAAGATTTTGAAAGGCATGTGTAGTGTTGGGCCCTGGAGAAGGGAGGTCATGAGAAATGACTATTCTGGGGTCTCTTAAATGCCCTGGGTGTTCAGCAAGGTCTGTATACTCAGACTCCTAGGAATGCAAATGTCTCCTAGCCCTGTGTGAGAGCTGGCAATTCTCTACTTACTCATTAGTTGTTCTTGCTTAGCCTTATGGAAAAGGCTCCTCTTTGTGTTTATGTAGGCTATATGCATGTTTCTGTGCAGGTATGCCTGTCTGTGTGTATGCACGTGGAGACCAGATGCTGATGTATGTGTCTATTCCTATTGTTCCCCGCGTTATTTTTCACTTACTTTGAGGTTTTTGTTTCTGATAACCAACTAGCTAGTCTGTACCTCCCCACCTCTGGGGTCAGGCACATGCTGCTGTGCCTGGCCTTTACATAGGTGCTGGGGATCCAAACTCAGGTTCTCACACTTGCTTAGCAAGCACTGTACTCATTGAACCATCTCCCCAGCCTAAATTATTCTTATATTGTTGTGATATGAGCGGCGGGGCTGCGTCCCCAGCACCCAGCCGCCCGCATTGCTAGGTTATGCCCCGAAATTATTACACTGAAACTGTGTTTTTTTTAAACACTGCCTGGCCCGTTATCTGTAGCCTCTTATTGGCTAGCTCTTACATATTGTTCTAACCCATTTCTAATATTCTGTGTAGCCCACGAGCTGGCTTACCAGGGAGGATCTTAACCTGCGTCTGTCTGGAGTGGGAGAACCATGGCGACTGCCTGACTCAGCTTCTTTCTCCCAGCATTCTCTCTGTTTACTCCACCCACCTATGTTCTAACCAATAAAATGGGCCAAGGCAGTTTCTTTATTATAATTAACCAATGCCTTCCTCCATCATTATATGCGAGCAGTTTACTTAACCAATGACTCAAGGACACCCATGTAGATTTTTGATACCTTTCCTTTATTTCCTCTTCTGTGGTACCCCACTTGCCACATTAAGTTCTAGATACAACTGTCTCACCAAACTCTGATTCTGTTTCTAAGATTAATGGGGTCGCCTTACTTTGTAACACCCTTCCCCTGTACCAATATTCTCTGAAAGTTCATCTGAACAAAATTCATAGGGACCTTGGGGCTCACTGCATTCGTTTCTCTAAATGCAGGGTCATAGATCTAAATTGCCAATTTTCTTATGGTGTAGGAGGCCCTTCTGTTTATGTGTTGCTTTCATTGGTTAATCAATAAAGAAACAGCTTTTGCCTGATAGGGCAGAACTTAGGTAGGCAGAGAAGACAGAACTGAATGCTGGGAGGAAGAAAGCAGAGTCAGAGAGCCACCATGGAGCTGCTGGGTCAGATATGCTGAATCTTTCCTGGTAAGCCATGACCTCGTGGTGATAAACAGATTATTAGAAATGGGTTAAATCAAGATGTGAGAGTTAGCCAATAAGAGGCTAGAGATAATGGGCCAGGCAATGATTTAATTAATATAATTTCTATGTGGTTATTTCAGGTGTAAGCTAGCCAGGCGGCTGGAACAAACAATGGGCACTGTCTCTATCAACATTTGGCACCCAGTGTGGCCAACTAACGCCATGTAAAACTTATGTAAGAGGGCTTAAAAAGGAATTCTAGGAAGAATAGCCAGTGCTCTTAACCTCTGAGCCATCTCTCCAGCCCCAAGATTGAGCGTGCAGCACATAAACCCTTTTTATCTGAATTACAGCCAAATCTGCCATGCAGAGCATTGTGGAGCTGGAAACATTTCTGTATATGGCGGCAGGAATCTGCCATGCTCTCCTGCCTGCCCTGGCCTAGTAGACTGATCCGCTGTCTTCCCAGGCAGGAAGAGCCGAGCCACGGGCATGTTCTCGACCCCAAGTGGGAACAGAAACATCCCGGGGTCCACAAATGCCATTGAAATGCTTAATAATTGGCATTTGTACTGGCAGCACATCCCAGGAAGCGACATTTTAAAACCATGTGGCCTTTTTCCTGCTACGGTGCTGAGTCAGGAAAATTTCTGGGTGCCATTCTGTAACAAGAGGAGTGGGCTACTTGTCATCCCAGCCACCCAGTTTTTTTACACCCAAAAATAACCACACAGAAACTGTATTCATTAAAACACTGCTTGGTCCATTAGCTCAGGCTTCTTATTAACTCTTATATTTTATATTAGCCCATTATTCTAGTATATGTTAGTCACATGGTTCAGTACCATTTTTAGCAGGGCAGATCACATCCTGCTTTTTCAGTGTCTGGATAGGACTGTGGAGGAGAGCTTCCTTCTTTTCAGAATACTCCTGTTCTCCTTGCCCCACCTCTACTTCCTGTCTGGTTGTCTCGCCTATATTTCCTGCCTTGCTACTGGCCAATCAGCATTTATTTAAAACATAATTGACAGAATACAGAATTGTCCTACACCAGATTATTTTGGATTCTAGATTTAGAGGGTGCAGTCCATGGATGATTGGACCTGTAATAATGGCAGAAGCACCCGGGGGACAAATCTACTTATGTTATGAGCAGAAAGCATAAGAGAAGGTCTCCTTTGCCAATATACCTCCAGTAACCTGACTTCCTCTTAGTAGACCCAACCTCTTAAAAGCTCTACTATCTCCTAGTAACTAAAAAACTAAGCTTTTACCTCATGGACCTGCAGAGACATGCAGATAGATAATATAGCAGACAGTAAATAATTCTAGATTTAAGTAATCCTTTGCTTAGAATTTTTAAGAAAATCTGTCATCTTTTATGAGCACTTTTGTAAGGTTTTAATCAATGTATATTCTATATCATGAGTTTTAGTTTACTACAAATATTTTAAAACTAACACATCTTTACTTTTTTTATATTTAGATAAAATTACAGTAATGCTAATGGATAAAATACTCTTTAATAATGTAATATATCCACTTTTAATATTGACTAGATTAATCATAGTCTGTCCCCCGCCTTCTGCCCCATTTTGACAAATGGTTTCTCTGTGTAGCCCTGGCTGTCCTGGAACTCACTTTATAGACTAGGTTGTCCTTGAATTTAGATCCACCTGCCCCTGCCTCCTGGGTGCTGGGATTAAAGGTGTGCACCTTTGTTCTTTCTCTCATTTTAGGAAAAGGGAAGATGAATAAAATGTGTCCTTGTAGTATAAACTGGAGAAACGTTTTTGGAGAGAATTTACTGTATAAAGCTGCTCTCCATGATGATGTTGATCTGGTTCGCTGTTGCATAAAAAATGGTGGAAATGTCAATCAGCTGAGTTATGCTGGTAAGTCAAGGTTACTACCCACAGTTGTCTAGGGAGCCATCTGTTGTCTCAGCTGAACTGCCCACATTAGAGTATGACAAAGTGAGCCGAAGGCAGTATGCTCTCCAGTAACTTTCTGGCTCCTCATTATTTCTCAAGGAAGAGAATTAGTTGAGTGGTGGAAGAACACTCCATTTCTCATTAAAGATGTCAGGCAGGCCGTGTGCAGTGCATTTACAGAAAGAAGGCTGGTTCCTGGTGCTCACTTTACAAGAGTGCTAATGTGAGACTTAACCTTGAATGGAGGTAAGATGAGACCAAAACTGGAAGTAACTAATGTTAACCAAATCTCAAGGGAAAATTTGTAGTAATGGCAGGGATACAGAAGGTGTAAGACCGGGGAAACAGGCAGAATAGAATATGAGGTAGAAGGTGGATAGATTACTAAGGAAGGAAGCAATTTTTCCTTGTGGCCGGTTCTGCAGTACTTCCTTCTGTGGAGAATCTTACATGTTTTCTAGATAGGACTGATTGTAAAGATAACTTGTGTGTTAGTGTATAAAGATACTTATGTGAACAACAGTGGGCCAGTCTGCGGGTGCTTTGGAGTATCTATACTTTTCCTTTAGCTTCTAGATTGCCTATTTATCAAACAGTGCAGAATCTCTGGTGCATAAATGATGGCATAGTGCAACCCATGGTTGAGCAGGTACTGCTCCAGTACTTAGAATATGAAGGCCTGGTTTTGCAATGTGGTCATAGTTTAAAATGATTTTTGAAATGATTGATTTTTATTTAGATTGATTGATTCAGTGTGCATGTATGCATGAGCGTGGGTGTGCATGCACACTGTAGCAGCGCATGTGTGGACATGAGAGGAAAATTTGTGAAAGTCAGTTCTCTCCTTCTACTCTGTGGGATCCCAGGATTGAACTCAGGTTATCAAGGTTAGCAGCAAGCACCTTTATCTGCTGAACTGTCTCCCTAGCCCTTAAATCATACACTTAGATTAATAACTAAGATTCTATAAACCTTACTCTTCTGCTTGCAAGAGATTTACTCTTTAAATTTTTTTAATTAATTAGCTAATTTTCCCAGCTTATTCAGAGTTTCCCTGCCTCTTCTCCCAGTCTGTTCCCTCATCCTCCTCCCACCATCCACTCCTCCTTTCTCTTCATAAAAGTGCAGGTCTCCCATGTATATCAGGCAGCCATGGCATACAAAGTTACAGCAAGACTAGGCATCTCTTCTCCTATTAAGGCTGGATAAGGCAACCCAGTAGGAGGAAAGGGTCCCAAAATCAGGTAAAAGAGTCAGAGATAGTCCCTGCTTCCACTGTTAGGTGTCCCACAAGGAGACCAAGCCACACAACTGTAACCTATGTGCAGAGGGTCCAGGTCAGACCCATGCAAGTTCTCTGGTTGGTGGTTCAGTCTCTTTGAGTCACCATAAGCCCAGGTAATTTGAGTCTTTGTGCTTTTCCACGGTGTTCTTGGCTCCTCTGACTTTCTTAATCCATCCTTCCCGTCTTGCACTGGATTTCCAGAGGTTCACTAAATGTTTGGCAGTGGGTCTCTGTATCTATATCCATCAGGTGCTGGTTGAAGCCTCTCTAATGGCAGGTGGACTAGGCACCAGACTATGAGCATAGCAGAATAACGTTAGAGATAATTTCATGGACTTGTCTTTTGTCAGTTGTATTTGATTCTATCCTGGATCTCTGAACTGCCCAGCCTCTGAGCCCCTACCCTCACATCTACTCTCTTGATTTTTAAGGGATTTGTAGTCCTTCTTCAGTACTTAGTGTTTCTTGAGTTTGAAAGTATCTCTACATGCAGCCAGATTTGACTCTATGAGTTTCCAATTACGTCTTAATGTATTTTTTCATTCCCCCTTTTCTTGGGACAGTGTTAACAACCTTTCTGGCTGTTCCCTATGTATCTTCAGCCAGTTTCCTCACTTCCCCAGGCACTTCCATGACCTTCCTGAATTAATTATCATTATTTTATTTTCCAAGCTTCTCAGACTCTTATTATTCATCTTTCCTCTCTGTTGTGCATCATATCTCTATTTTTACTGTTTGCTGTCATATTTTTTTAGAGCCAGAAAACAGTGTTTCCACAAAGTAGTCAACAAGCCATTTTCATCAGAAATTAACTACATCTGTTTAAAAATACTAATTTAATTTCTCTCTCCTCCCTCTCTCCTCCCTCCCCCTCCCATCTCGTGTGTGTGTGTGTGGAACACACAAATCTGTATTTTAGCAAGTTGATCAGACGATGTTTATCTTATAAAACAAGAGCTGTTAACACAACATGATGGAAATCAATGTTGAGTGCCTTAAAACGAAACTGCCTACCATGTGCTTAGGAATGTAGACATCACAGGCAGTGTCTGGTTGTTGGTGCTTCTGGGCTTGACTGTCACAGCAGAATAGGAAAGGTGTATGCCACTTTCTGAGAACTTTTAAAGGTAGATCTGCTCTTTTGGGCCATTATTTTGGTCTAGGTGGGTATACTATTCCTGGCAGCAAGGATGAAGTGTTTGTTGGAACCTGTTGGCCAACAGCTTAACTGTCTAGATACTGTAAACTTTGTTTGGTGGCAAGATGTGGCCAGTTGAAATTCTGCTTTGCCCATTGTTTGGCCATTTCATATAGATTGTCTTTATAGATGTATATATTTTAGGAACTTTCTACTCTGTTAGGTTTCCATACTAACCCTCAAATGGCCTTTAATTTTAACTACTTCTTAGTGTAGGAGATTTTTCTGTCTCTGTGTTGCTTTCATTGGTTGAATAAAGAAACTGCCTTGGCCTTTTGATAGGACAACACTTAGGTAGGCGGAGTAGACAGAACTGAATGCTGGGAAGAAGGGCAGATGGAGAGCTGCCATGGAGCTGCCAGGTCAGATGTGCTAAATCTTTCCTGGTAAGCCATGACCTTGTGGTATTAAACAGATTATTAGAAATGGGTTAAATCAAGATGTGAGAGTTAGGTGAGCATCCAAACTGCCTAGGCTCCCACAAAGCCAGTACGTGCAGTAGGATCAAAAACCCATTGCCATTATTCTTGAGTTCTCAGTAGTCCTCCTTGTCCGCTATGTACTAGACCTGGATAGAGGTGGGTGGTCCTTGGACTTCCCACAGGGCAGGGAACCCTGATTGCTCTTTGGGCTGATGAGGGAGGGGGACTTGATTGGGGGAAG